AACTCTGTTATTGGTTCTTCAGTCAACCTAGAGGAAGATACTCAGCACATTTACAGCCTCCTAAGGCAGCAGAAAAATTGAGCTGAAACATATCATTATATGCATGTCACAAACTGCATTCAATTCTGAGGGAATCGAAACAATCCATATTCAAGTATTTATCCTAAGTAATTTTTTTGTTTTACTAAGGAAAGCTAGGTTTGGCCTCCAACTTCTTGCTCTGCTGGCACCCAAGTTCTGAGCTTAAAGAGATGTCTTGGGCTGTTCCCTGTAGCAGTCAATAGAACCTCTCTGTAGAGGTTCTCCTTGACAGAGAAATCCATTTCCCGGCCATTTTTCTTCAGAAATTGAATTGCTTCTTGATTTATATATGTATTTATTTATTTATTCAGAGAAAAAAGGCAGGATATCTGTCCCCTCTTTTCCTTTTCCCCCAGCTATTTGAAAAACCATACACGTTGTTTCAGATTCAGGCTTTTATTTTTCCTTTGGAAACAATGTAAATTGGATAGGAACAAGAGAAAGAAGTGTTCCTGTTGCTGCCATTACAACTGTTTGAAATGCAGCAGACCTCTTGCTCCTGTGGAGGTGCAACATGTCGCTTATTAGCCACTTCATTAAACCCTTACAGAAACTGAGAACAAAAAATTCTTTGCTGTTTGGTGTAGAGAAAGATAAATATTTTTTAAAAAAGTCATTTCCCAGAGAAGCACTGGCAAAAGGAACATTCTTGCAAGTCCAAAGTGTTTATTCTGGGAAGCTCTGCTCTCTTTAAAATTTCAGAGCTCCAGTTTCCCTCGGGGAACTTTTGCAGATTAATTGACCTAATGGTAAAGGACTGGTGTGTGTTATCTACAACCTCAATTCAACCCTCACTGGAGTTAATGGATTTACTACTGACATTAAAGAATGCAGGATGGAGCCTGCAAGGCCACCTCTCAAGGCACACAGGACTCCAGACAGCGCCGTGGGACACGGCTCCCTGGGCTGGAGTCTGGTGAGAACTGCCTGAACATCTACCTGGGCTTCCTGCTGTGCTTCTTGAGAGCCCTACCCACCCATCGTGCCTATCTCAGTCCTAACTTACAGCTTATTTCATGTTTGACCTAAGCTCTGAAAGCTGAAAATGTACCCTCGCTTGGTCCGTGCCTGTGCCTCGTCTCTCTCAGGAAACATTGCCATCCAAATATTTGCTGGTCTACGAGCCCCAGCCAGAAAAAGCATACTTTTGCTGGCAAGTCTTCCAGTGTAGACCAGCTCTAACAAACAGTGCCCTGATCTTTGCCAGGGCCTCTGCTCATTGCTGCAGTGCTGACAAAAGCAAGAGGAAGAACATGGAGCTAAAACTGCTGACATTTGTCTCTCCCTTCATTTGCCCAGCTGAAGAGGGCTGACAACACCTCATCAGCAAAAATCCTCTGAACAGTTGAGGATAATTTGAATAGGGTCTTGTTTAAAGAACGCCTATTATAACTACACATCTGACTACTTTTATTATTTTGTGCCCAGAAAATGAAATGCTGAAAGGATATGAGGGCATTGACATGTTTACCCATTTGGAAAAAAATATCTCCCAGAAGGAAAAAAGCTTAAAGGGCTCCAGATGGTAAAATAAAAGCCTTTTTTTTTTTTTTTTTTTTCAGTTAAAGAGATCAATAAGTGAAATTAACAGATGCCATTCATAGCAGAAGTTACATGATGGGGCAGACAAGAGTGGAGCCCTTTTCTGCAAACATCTGTTAGATGTACAGGCTGGAAAGGAAAAGATACCTGGCACGTGTATACTCAGCATGTTTTCAGTCCATTCCTTTGCTCTTGTCCTGGTGTGAGCTTCCAGGCAAAGGCAGGCACTGTGCTGTATGGTGGTCATTTTCCTGTCAGCTCTGACTGTGTTTTACCAGCTACCCTTCCTTTCCTATTTCCCTCTCTGCTTTTCCCTTCAGAAGCTCAGTCAGTACCTCTAAAGGATTTGCAATAAGCAAGGGCAGAGGGTGAGTCTTGTCTGCTACAACTGCCTCACATGACATGAATATTATCATCTTATGGGGACAATAACTTCTGTAATTGACTAGTTTAACACATTTACTATTTTAGTGTATATTTAAATTTATTTCTTTTTACACTGCAACAGTAAAAACAAAAAGTAAAAAAGCAAAGGCCCATGTATTTATTTAGATAATGTAAACAGCTGTTTAAGCATTGTAATGTTTGATGTATTTTAGAGCAGATATCGTTGCTTTTGTTTAGATATCATGGAATAACAAGTAAGTATCCTAATATTCTTCTTTAATAAAAGGTTCTGAAAGATATTTAATATATCGACAAAAGCCTAGAAAATGATAATGCCCCCAAGACTAATGAAACAGATCATTTGGACTGAAGATTTTAGTTTTCTTCTTCCTGATCCACATCAATACTAATCTAAGGTGTTATATTCTTACTTTTATATAGCCAGAACTTTAAAAAGTACCCAGAAACCAACCTTTTGCTGGTACCAGTGAGACTTAGAGCCCTGTACATTTCAGGACTGGGCATAAAATTTTCATTAGGCAAAAATGCAAGCTATCAGTCCAAGTCAAATTAGATTATTTAATTGAATGTTATATCAATATCAGATTATTCCTTACTTTTATTTTCCAGAAGAGAACTAAAGTTTATGCAGCCTTAATTTTTTATATTGATCCTTATGTTGGATGGTATTTTATTCAAAACATAAATACTGTTATGCTCTAGTCTGCTTATAATCTAGGCGATTATGACGATAACAGCAGTTAAAACTCCCTAATTCTGTATGCACCAAGTGTTTTCAGTCTGGTTTATTTAGACTAGCTGGGATACGGCTATGTCATTAATATTTTTGGAGTGCACAGTGTTCTGGAGAAGTTCTGCAAGCAATGCATAAAATCTGTAATACTGATCCATCCTTGGCTTTTCGACAACTGGCTTTTGCTCAGTCATTTCAATTTAAAATGTAACAATTATTGCTTAAAATCAAATTTTCAATTATATTCACTACTAGTAGTGGTGCAGATGTAGGGAAATACACAATTATTCCTGTTAATAGTCCTGGTAATCAGGGGAAGATCTCTTTTAGTTTAAGCAAGGAGCAATTGAATTTGGAGCACAAGAGGCCAAGTTGGTTATACCACCCACAGTGCAGATTTGAATGGGAATAGGAACACAGCCCTTTAGAAGTCTTGTGCAAAATAACATGCCCAAACTCATCTTAAAAGTGTATTTTTCTACTTGTTATGGGTATTAAAAAATATGATCCTCATATGCTCTTAGCACAGGCATCTGAAACTCAGTAGGTGTTGTCTATATTTTTAAGTAAAAAGTCAACAATTCTTTTGACGTAAAGTCCGCAATTGTATTTCCCAAATACCACTTAAACACAATAAAAGGTACTTTAATTTAATTATTTCTTGCTTCCCATAGCAGACCAGTTCTGTAAAGTTATGTAACACACTGAAATGCACTGGGTATAACACACGCCCAGGTTTCTAAGGAAAGATGTTGCTTCCATTATGTAGGTTCCCATACAAAGCTTTCCCTGTGGGAGGAAGGTTCAGGTGACTGCAAGTGTCACGTAAGGCAGCTATGACACAGGTCACCTAATACAATTTTGTATCACATTTACTTGCAGACCACCTTTTGGGTCAGCTGGAGGCTAGTTCAGAAGAACTGTGTATTGTAAACGATATCTGATTCACTGGGAAGCACATTATGAGTGAAACTTTTAATAATTTTGTTGCTGTGGATGAAAAGCTTTGAGAACCGGATGTTCATGTTTTGGATTACTATGAGTTCCTTTGTGTTGTGACTCAGGAGATGCACTGGGGAGACACACAACCGTCTGTAGATTATCTTACCATTGTTTTTTCCTCTTTGCTGATCATCACCCAAGCAAATGTCTTTTTTTTTTCTTTTTCCTTTTTTTTTTTTTTCCTTCCCTTTCTCCTTTGGAATCATTTTTGAGAGGATTTCAATTTTTCCTTTCTGCAGAAAGTAAATCTAAGCCTGCAAGAAGACAAAATGCATATCTGAACTTCTAATTCATATTCCTGATACACAAAAATTAAACTGAAATTGTCTAATCACTCTTTAAAAATAGATTTACAAATATAACTCTCCCTTCTGGCTGGACTCACAAAGTTCAGTAGCAGGTTAGGTATGTAAGAAGAAAGGAAAGGTAGACCACAGCTTTCTTGAATTTATTCTTGCACACTAGACACAGCAATAGAAGGAAAGAACTTTGATGTTGCACAACGAAGAGAGATAAGATAGAGGTGTTAGATAACAAATGATAGGCAAGGCTATTTTCAGGAGTGTTTGAAACTATATTTATGTATCAGTAGGTTTCTGAATGAATATGTCTTGAGGATAGTTATCAGCCCTGGGATAGGGATTGTGTAACATTCTCCTCAATATCTTGGAGTCCAAGACTACAAATATTTGCTTTATGGGGGACGTCCTCAACCTTGTCAAGTTACCTATGCGTGTACCTGGTTTTGGGATTTGGCACTTGGACTAGGATTTACATCTGAGACAGATTGCATGTGACACGATCCAGCGGACAGGAACAGGCTCAGTCTGAACGGCTCTCTCTGTGGCCATCAAGCAGCTCTTCTCACACAAGTGGTCCAGCAGCAGTGGCAGGACATTGTTATCATCTGCTGCTTCATCTACAAGGTAAAATCTCATCTGATAAAAGCAAAACAATGTAAAAGCTGTACAAAATGAAAGGGTTAAAGTATATTTTGGTCACTTCTTATTTGGCTGTTTCTAAGACTAACTTCTGAGGTGACAATTAGAGACAGATTTGAAAGGCCTAGCTTTTCATTTTGACTTCATGGCTGTGGACACAGCACTCTGCCTGTCCCTTTAGGCCTACAGAAATCTGTGTTCGTGTAAACATGACAGGAGCAATTGGCACATGAAAAATAACCAAGCATCTAGACAGTCATATCACATTCGGTGCACCCAAAAGGAGACTGAAGGCAGAATAGAAAGGAAAACCACAGATGCTGAGGTGTAGATAAGCCATGCTCCCCAAGGGGGTAACTCATCAAGCCAGATCCCCATCAAGCTCAGCTGCTCCCAGGTGCGTGGACTCCGACACTTCCAAACATCCTTCTCCTGCAGCCACGTGCCCTACGCCCGCAGCTGGGAAATGTGGAAGAGACATGGTGTCAGCTCTTTGCCAGATGGGACACTGATGCATAGAGAAAATCCTTCAGGGTAATTTTAGCCAGCTTTGGGAGAAGACTCAAGGTGACCTTCATGCGTGGTAAGATCTAACACTGCAGACAAAAAGTAGAATGTTAGGATTGCTTTTGTATAGAAGGAGGTACTGAAATAGTAATATGTACACATAGATGTGTTAAAATGTGCCTCCAACATAAGATCAGACATAAGCATAAAATAATGGGACTTTCTGCCCTGCTGTGTGTCCTTTGAGGCACTCAGGCCATAGAGAGATAATGGAGAAGACACACATCACTGGGCAGGTGTGTTCTCCGGGTGGGTGAACTACTACTACAAGTTAATAGAGGGACTATAATCTAAAAAAAATAAGAAAGGGGGATGAGGGTGGGGATGAAACAACTCCTAGTACCCTGTCATGTACATTAACTGTGATTAGCACTTCAGGATACAATTAGGATACTAAAGGTTCTCTGCAGGGTGGCACACCATAATAAATCGTATGATGCATCTGACCTACAGGAATGGTCAGGATCCAGATTTTTTCTTCTTGAAAGAAAACATAATTAATGGGAATAGCTCTTGATAGATGTCAGAAGTGAGATGATGGAACAGAGGGAGCATATCAGTCCTACTGGAGTTCTACAATAAAACAGCAAAATGACAGTAGGAAAAAAAATACTTTAAAAATACCTTAGCTTGGAAATGGAGAAGGTTGCCTGAGAAGGTGTCTCAGAGTGTATAACAGTTTGTTTAGTGGTGTAGTTGCACAGTGAAATGATTTCCAAGGAGAATATTGATCTTGAGGGATGTGTTCCAGCCTTACCATATGCCAATCTGGAATACGTTACCAAATAGACTTTTCCATCCTCTGTGGTTTAATGCCTCTCTCTACATAGATTCAGTGAAACATCTGCAAAGGATGTCAATTTGCATTTTGTTGTGCTTGAATAATAACTACTATTCATTTATCTACAGGACAGTGACAGTGTGTGTGCACTGCCATACAGACATGTGCCTTCTGACAAGAGCAAATCCCTGGAGTCCTGCAGCTCACTGTGGGTTCCCTCTCCAGTGGGTATGGAAGTGATCAGCCAGGAGGCACGGAGAAGAGCAGCATGGGCAAGAACAGCTTTAAGCCATCTTCAGTGCTCCCTCAGTGCTGGGGATTGCTGATGTGAATGGAGTTCAGAAGTGTCGTGTAAATATTTACGTGTGAAGTGGATGCTGCTTGTGACTGGTACCCATGGGAAATACACCAAAAAAGTGGAAAGCTGTGGTTGTTATTAGCAGCAGCAGCGCTACGGAGCAGCCTGCACTGTCACACATCTGTTTGGCAGCTGCTTTTGTGAGCATATTACTCTCACCACATTTAAACCACTTGTAACATGGCCCTGACCTTTAGATTTTGGTCTGTATTCATACATAGTTAAAAACATGTAATTATCCCGATCTGTCTCCTGATGAATCATCCTTGCAAATTTCACCATTAACAGTCCCACCTGCTTGTATTATTCCGAAACTGCAGATTACTGCTCAATGTAGTTTTGTCCCCAGGCTGCCAGAGAGCTCTGTAAGTTATGACCAGGCTTCTCCTCTTCCTCACACCTCTCATTTACCAAGAGTATGTAAGGCAGATTAATTTGTGTCACATGTGTAATTAACAATGTTACCCTTACATGTTTCATTGAGGGAAAAAAAAGAAAAAAACAAACAACACCTTATGGATTTCTGCATTTCCTTATCAATTGCCCAAAGTGTGCTTCAGCCTGGTACAAGATACTGTTTGTGAGGGCTAAGAACCCCTCAGTTTCTCTGTTCTGCCCCACTACTTCGTTTGTTTTTTGGTAGAACATATTTCTGCTAATTTTCTAACTAAGGACTGCTGTGACCTCCAGGCTGGCAGTCTGTTACCTAGCAAGGACAGGGTACTATACATGAACTCTACATATGTTTGTGTATTTTTTTTTTTTTTCTAAATCACATATTTTATAGGTGTGATTAACAGCAGTTCAGGCACAAATACAGATGTGGCTACTTACTCGATCTTGTGTGCTGCAAAGTGAGTGGTTAGCAGAATGCTGACTCTCAGGTCTGTCACTCCTACAGCACTCAGCAATTACCCAGCACTGCCCACCCAACCTCTCCAAGCACTATGCACACACAAGGAGTGTATGTTCCCAGTGCAGGGAAGGGAGATGCCTTTGTGACCTGCCACCGGTCCCTCAGCAAATCGGCGGCTGTGCTGGAGGCAGCAGTGATGTCCTCCGAAGCTCCACTGCAGTTGCATGTCTGCTGCATTGCCCTGCCTCCACCATGAGCTATTCCAGTCCAGCCACCTCCAGTGCCTTGCATATTTGATACCACATTATGCATGTTAAAACATTCTGCACCTACATGTAAGTGACTGTGTTTCATACATCCTGATAGCCCATCCAATTTCACTGAAAATAACAGCTTGGTATTTTACTGTTCTGCCAACGTGCAGGGACTAATCAAAAGTGCTCTGCATTCATTTTCTGCTTGGAAAGGGACAAGACTGATATCTCAGGAAAAGCAAGCAAGAAAAAAAAGTGAACGCCACAAATTACCAATCCCAGTTTGACCCTGGGATATTTGCTGATATGGCCTTCACAACTTTGGTGAGCACAACATTTATCTCACAATGAAGGTTTCTGACAGTACTACTAATATTCCTTGGGTTCAGTTTCACTTTTAGCTACTTCCAAACTTTGTCTACTTTCTTTCTACTGCATGTAGAAACCAATCATGCCCATGCTCATACTTCTAAGGTAGTTAACAATCTAAGAAAAAAAAATAATCTTCTCACTTGATGTTCCTTGTTGGCCAAATACGGAAGCAATCAGTGTCTTCAAACAGACCTGCAAATCATCTGTGCAGAGTATTTTCAGGTTCTCATCACAGCCTCAGCTGCTGGAAACAACAAGACCAGTGTCTTGGAGGCTAAAAGGCACTGCTACAGGCACAGCTTTGCTGGAATGCCAAGCAGGCTCTCAGATCAGTCCCTGCGAATATCAACCTGCAGTATCTCCTTGCCTTATTTTCTCATCTGCTTCTGCTTGTAAGGTTTTTCCACTGAGGTTCTTCTGGCTCCAGGTATTGTGTAAATTGTGTAAGTATTGTGTAAAAATGTCTGGCTCCGGACAATTGTGTAAATTAAGGGCTTTGCAGCCTCCTGAACTCTCTCTTTCTTCTTGTAGCTTGTGAATTCTGCTTCTCCAGTATTTGTGATTGAGACCTGACCACAAGTACTCCTAAAGCCCAGAGGTAGTGTTACAAGCCTGAAAAACCTGTCAAAAACCTAAGTAAAATGCATCAAGTTAGACAGAAATGGTGTTTGTGTCAACTTGTTCAGTGACTTCAATTAGTTCTTATCTCATGTGGAGTGTACTAAGTTGTAGGAGAGATCAGTGGAAACATGGCAATGTGTTGAGGATATCCTTTCCTCTAAAATTGTATCAGTATCACACCTTGCACCCACAAAAACCTACTGTTCATTTTGGCAGACCACTTATTTGAACCGATATAGGTACAGACAGGTACATTCTTGCAGCTCCTGTCATGTGTTAGAGCAAACTGTTCTGAGGCCAGGTGTGAAACTAGACACAATGTTTAATACCGTCTGGAAAGTGTTTCTCTTTCACAAATCAGTACAGATGAAAGAATACTCACTAAATGTGAGTAAAACCTGTGAGTAAACCACTTGTTTTCATTGCAAGAGCAGATCTGTGAAACCCTCAGTGTTTCTGTTTTAACTCAGTGTTACTGAAATTTGGAATAATCTGCGAGATTGGCATGGCTTTATGGTGGGTATGGCTATATTAACTGTTGTCCCCATGCAAGCAAAAGTTGTGGCTGGGATTGGCTGTGCATGTTGCTGTACTGGTCTGTGTAGTTACATTCCCAGTTGATACACATGTCCAGCCAGCTGCTTAAGCATGGGAAATTACAAATGAAACAAATATTAGAAATGTAGCTTTTTAACTCTGGTCTCTACTGCTGTAATCACTGAACTCCTACAGCTACCGCAGCAAGCTGTAAGGACTAGAAGTGAGAAAAGTTAGACATAACAATTTAGAGCTTTATTGCGTCCGTTATGAAATCAATGCAAAACTCTAAAAAACTTTGTTGTATCTATATCAGGCCATAAATCTGTGACATTATGCGAGTGATTATCTTTATGGGGGAACATCAGTTTTTTCTTGTACACAAATATCCTTGCGCTTGCTCAAGGATATTTGAGCTCAGCTCCGCCCGCCAGACATTTTCCTGATGTACTCAGGAAACTTTCTATTTCTGCAGGGCACACTTCCCTAGAGAATCTTCATTATAATTTTACATCCTTCTGCTTTATCTGCCTGACTTATCTGAGGTTTTTGGAGTGCTGCTGACGCTGGCTGGAGTTAGTGGATGCTTAGCCTTTACGTGACAGAAGGAAGTAAAGCCCCTGACAGGCCCAAGTGGGCAGAGTTTTTCACAGAAGCTGCAGAAAAGGCCAATGAAAGGGAATGCCTAAGAAACTGCATCGCAATTGACTGCACTAATAACCAATTACAGAAAAGTAACATAGGAGCTGATAATTTAAAAACTCACGATGAAACAGAAGTGGCAGAGACAGCTGCTGAGTAAGGTCTTGAAGCTCCAGCATGACTGATGCTGTCAGCAGTGTGACCTATGCAGTGTGCCAGTTTCAAATACAAGCAGCTGCTAAGGTTGTTGATTGAATATACAAATGTGTACCAGGGAGAGCATTCAATCTCAACATTGCTGTGTTGAGGTTTGGCCAAGCCTAAAACTGTCTGTAATTTTGGCAGAGCACACTTCTATCCTCTGCTTTCCAGATCTAGGATGGAAGATATTTTGGAAGATGAAGCTGAACTTAGAACTATCACCTTAATCGCATTCAGAAAGGTTTTTAAAAAGCCTTTGAGACGTAAGAAACAGATTAGGAAGTGCTGTATTTTACTGGCCTGCCTGCTACCTCTTGTTGTGTGTTTGCTTCAAGTATGGTTGTGGGAAACATTTTCTTCTTCCTTTTATAACAATTGAGGGAGAAGAACAATGAAAGAATCACAGAAGAGTCAGGAACTAAGAGAAGATGGGAAAATACATGAGTAAATTCTAAAGAATGGGGGGGGGGGGGGGGGGGGGGGAGAGGGGAAGACATAAAAGAATTGGAGGGGAAAAAAGGAAAGAATAAGATGAATTATTAAGGGGTCATTACTTCAGTTCATTTGGGAACCTTGCATTTGCCAAGGTTATTTGTTCATTTTTTCATTTCCCTTTTGATCTTCCATTTTTTTCTATGACGTCTAGACTATTATCAGGGTTCAAGTAAAGGTTTATTTTCTTGAAAGATAAAGTCTATATTTCACAAAAGGTAAAGGAAATAGTAGTTTAGATGAGCAGATATTACTGGGGAAGAAATAAAGACTGCTCTTTTATCTTTCTCATCTTTTCTTTCATTTTTCTTTTCTTTTTTTTTCTTTTTTTTTCTTTCTTTTTTTCTTTTTTATTTTCTTTATCACTGCCATCTGTATTCCATATCTAGAGACATTTACTAAAGCTAACCTATTGATCAGGCCTTTCTCTGCATCTTGTTCTCTTTGTAGAGTCCTTCTGCACAGAATGAAACGTGAAAGCCAGGCTATCACTGCCTACCGTTGTGCTACCACCCAAGTCTCTTCTACCTAAAACACAGATTTACACAAAAATGAGTTGGGATGAGTAGACTAGGTACTTGTCTGGGGATCAAAAAAGGGGATCTTCTATACAGCTACATCTGTACAACTGTCTAGCCTGGAGCTCCTCCACTTCTGACAGGAGAAGGCCATGGGGCTTTGGGCAACCTGGTCTAGTGGGAGGTGTCCCTGCCTGTGGCAGGGGGGCTGGAATTTGATGTCTTGAAGGTCCTTTCCACCCCAAGACATGCTGTGAGTCTATGATTCTACGGTACTGGAGGACAGCGACGCTGAGCTGCAGCTATGGAGCAGCAAGCACCTGTGTGCCTGGGCTACCTCACTGCTAGCCCTGCAGGACAGCTCTCAACAGAGATGATGACAGCTCTGTGCCCACCAGATGAAGGGGAGCAGATGGCTCCAGTACAGGGCCAGGTCAGATCTTTCTGTAAAGAGGGATACAGACTGCCACGGGGCTATGTTACTATGTCTATGTTACTTACAGGCTATGTTACTGCAGAGTTGCTGTTGGTTGCTGGAAAGAAGATATGACGGCCATGCCTTCAGCAGCTATCAGGTGCTTCTCAGATGACACCTGGTGGACAAAAGACTACTGTGCAGAGCTGCATCCTAGCCGATATCTGCACTGCTGCACTTACTGCTGGTGTCCTCGGTATCCTGATGTGTTATTGCAGCACCTCAGAACAACCGAATATGCACATATCATATCTGTATCTGCCACAGCTATTTCTTTTTTCTTTTTCTTTTTTTTTTTCATATTTGCATTTTTTCATATTCTATCTGATGCTCAGAGTTGGTTTAATTCTGACCACTGAGTATGAGACTATGCTATCAGATTAGGCTAGAATGAACATGTTGTTTTTAGGAATAAAAATACAAGGAAAGCCCATGCTGTTACCAGTGACTTGGTGCTTTTCTAGTTCAGGATACCTAGACAATTTTATAGACCCTTATACAAGTGGATATTTGTATCCACAAGGCTAGACACTTTCATTTCCTTTGATCACTAATGCACACTTTCCTTTTGAAATTGCTTCAAGTTTTGGTATTACTTGTCTAAAAAAACTGTCTTTTCTGCTTGGTGCTTTACAACTGCCCTACAGCATTCTTGTTGAGGATGTGGGGGAAACAATTTAAAAAACAAAACAAAACAAAACAAACAAACAAAGAAAAACACTCTGAGTTCACCTGGAAAGAAACATCTGCACAGGCAAGTCTTTCTTTCTGGGGGTCCACACCAGGTGCGTGTGTGTTGATGTCTCCTGGTAAGATAGGTGGTTTCCCCAAGGATTGCATGGGTGGCAATACAGTGTTATTGCACTGTCCTTTTTCTCTATTTGGCTTGAAGGATTTCAGGAAAATAGGAGATATTGGTCAATTAACACTGTAAGAGATGAGGCTCCTTCCATACAGCACTGGAGCTGTGATCAATGCTTTCATGGCCAGCACTGCATCTTCCAGATGAACGGGTGTTTTTTTCAGTTGTTTGGACTCTTTTGTTCTATGTGTAGCCCGTTCCTTTAACGTTTAACAGTTTTATTGTTTCTTTGTGTACTTTCATGTCCTCCCTCACTACATCAAGTGTCCATTCTTGGGGCTACAGCAGGTTAAAACTTCCTCCCCTCAGGTGCTCTCAGGTCTTATGACACCAACGTCAAAGAGACCACGTAGTTAGTGATATCAAAGTTGTCACCAGTGCCAGAAATAACTGAGGGTGAAGTGGGGTCTGTCTGTGAAAAGGAAGATTGCAGCCTTTTTCAGAACAAATCCAGGCCAGGATACCTCTACTTTTTGAAGTGGTTATTTTTTCAGCCCTCTCCTGGCAAGGTAGGTAGGGCTTTTATGGCCTTTTTTTTTTTATCTTTTTCTCAGAACAAACATGCCTGCCCAAGCTGACACAGGAAATATGTGGCAAAGAGAAGAAGCAAACCCAATTCTCTGAAGTCCTAATCTCAGTTCAGATGCCTTCTGCTTACAGTTATGAGAGTGACAGCGTTCAAGCTCTCTCTGCAGACTTCTCTGTATGCAAGAGTGAGGTCTGTCACTGCTATCCACAGCTGCCAGAGCAATGCAAACATTTTCTGCAAACAGGATGTCATATGTCCAAATTCAGAAACAGTTTTGTGGTTTTCAATCAGATTTTGCCCAGAGAGAGGCTGTGTGAAAAACCTCAGGATGTGGCCTATTCTGCTGAGATGTGAAATGCTATCATACTGTGCACCCAAAGAGATGTACATTCCAGCATATACAGAGGATTCAGATAACCACATTAAAACACTGGCAGCTGCATAAACCCTGTTTGCGCTTGCATTTCAGCCTCTACAGCAGTTGCATCAGCGACAGAAACTGCGCTGGACAGATTAACCAAAGCAGCTTGTAATTTCATGAGAATTCTACTTGGTTGAACACAATTTATCACTTGCTGGTAGGAAGTATGGTTTTCAGTACTGTTTAACTCCTATGCCTTTACTAGAAGAATTATCTGTGTTCAAAGTAGTTTTATTTTCTATTCATTTTTAATAGATTTTTACCTTAATCAGCTGCTGGTCCTGCCTGAGCAGTTCCTGACTTTTCTAAACATCCCTTCACCAGATCTTGCCATCAGGTTTAGCTTGGCACAGACATGATTGGGAAGAGACGGAGACAATGCACAGCTTGTTTTGGATTCCCTGCACCCAACCATTGCCATGCCCAGACCCTAACCCTCTGTCATGTGTAGGCCAGCCAAAAGCTCTTCAGAAGTGCTGAGCATGTTCAGCTTTGCGGGATTTCAGCAAGAGAAACAATTGCTTAACCGCATGGAAAAGTACAGAAAAGACATCTCATGCCAGCAGCCACAACACTGAAGCATTGTACATCCAAAAGTTTTGGCCTGAATACCTCCACCACTCAAATCTTCTTCTCCACTTGCAGGTATTGCATCTCACTCACTCTTAAGAGAGAGCATGAAACTGCACTATTCCTTCCATGTATTTTTTCCTGCTTAATAACTAATAGCAGGCAGTAAACAAAATTATTCTCGTTCTGGGCAAAAAGGGGGAAGGGGGTGCAAAATCTTGAAAGCTTTTATCAAGCACAGCTGTCACAGAAATCAAGGGTTTCCCATAGTAGTTCAAACACCAAACTAAGTGGAGAAATAGAGACTGTGCAAGAGAACAGAATATAATTACATCATGCAATTGCCTAGCTGTTTTCTTGTGGATACAGATTAATAGTTAACAAAAAGTACACAGATGTCACCCTCTGTTGTGCCACATTTTGACTTGGATGAGTCCTATCCCATACAGGAATGATGTAAGGTCCTGGCTCAGCTGAAAGCCAGGGTTTACCCCTATACCAGCTTCACAACTTGAGGCCTGACCCCTCCCAATGCTTAGAACTAGCAAAGTCTATTCAGACACCTAAAATACCTCTGCACATGATTTCAGACATCTCCTACAAAGCCCTCAGGATTCTGAGTTACTCATGAGTAGGATGTGTGGCAAACAGTAATAACATGGATTCACCTTTCAGAAACTGATGAACTACTGAAGTGTTTGAATTACATTATGAGCAGAGTCATTTTGATAAAACTGCTTGCAGAATATGGTAGCTTAACCCCATGCAGTTATCAGTTTGCTGATCCTAATATCAGATACTTTAATAGGGCTCACCAAAGAAAAACAAATACAAACAAGTTCTAGAAGATACGCTTCTTTCTCTTGCATCAAATAATGGAGGAGAAGACAAAGAAGAGTTTGAAACACTGCTACAGAAAGAACACTTCTATAAGCCATTTCAGGTAGCAATCTGTGAGAACAATCCTCTTTAATTTATGCTGATGAATATTTTCAGGTTTTGAAATGTTCTACTTTACTTGTTAATTTCTATTCAGCAAATACAAAGAAATCAAATGTAAGCACAGCCATAAAATATAAAAAGGAAAAATATATCAGGAAAGTGCTTTTAAAAACATCAATTAGGCAATAAAATGTCTTCAGCTTAGGCCATTTGGTTAGCATCTGTGAATGCTTTTGTGTTCTACAGCTGGGAAAACACCAGATCATAAAATCTTTTTAGCTAGCAAAGCCACTGCATGAATAGCTTATTTCTATTCTGCAGAAATGTTAATTAGCAACTCCTTAAAAGTTTGATTGGTATATGTGAGTGAAAAACAAAATCTTGAGAGTTCAAAAATGCATTGAATAATATGAAGCTCTTTATTTCCTGTCAGGATAATGAGGATGTAGTCTGGTCTTCCTGAAGGAAGTAATCAATACAAAACCCTAAATCCTGACATAAATAAAACCTGAGCCAGTCATAAGCATGCTCCATGAATTTGAAAGAGTAAGAAAGAGACTGTGTTTAATCAAACATCCAAGACAGTGAATCAGTCGTAGCCAAATTGCAACCATACACAGCTCGTCCCAGTTAAAACCAGCCCTTGAGGGAAAAGCAGGATACGGTGACACCAGACAGCAAGCATCACTTGCTGCTCTGCATTTGATGGATCTTCATACACATGTCCCTAGATGCGTACACACCTCAGGTCAGCTTTGGCTACTGGATGTTGAGTACATTGCTCTGAGGAGACTCCTGCTTGTGACATTAGGTCTGTGGCTTCAGCTCATCAAACAAGCTCAGGGGAGTTAAATGGCATCGGTCAGATAGTCTGGGGCCTTTGGAGTCTGTTGTCTTTTCCACACTGTCATCAGCTTGAGTATACGCCTGCAAGGCTTGGAAGGTCATGGGCACTTCGGATTACAACTTTCTCACCCAAAGCAAGGGTGGCTGGGAGCATAACGTAGTCACTGTCTGCTGACGAGGTGGTGAAGGCCTTTTGAACATCCCCCCACATGCTTCTTTTGAAATCCCAGGATTTCAGGACTCTTTCCTCAGGTCAGATTTCCCTTTCAGATCCCTGTAGGCTTTGGGGCTTTGGGTGACCACCACTCCCTAAGGAGCCAGCAGGTCTGTGTCAGGACCGCTTGAGTCCCCCATCATGTCACACCGCTTCTTATAAAGCCACAGAGAGCTGGCCAAGCTCAAAAGATGGCCACTGTGGA